CACGGGGCGGGTTTGGGGAACCCCATGCCCCACGACGGGGCGACCATCTATGCCCTGCCCTGCCCCGCCCCGTGCCCCGCGATGGGGCGGGGCGACTAAATTGCCATCACTAGCCAAACATCATCCTTTTTTTTTGTTTTTTAAATAATGTCCTTGTTTGAGCCCCATTTTTTTTGGGAAGAATGAATTTTTGAATAGTGTATTGATGGAAAATGTGTGGCTAAAAAATAAGTAAAATTTTTGAATTTACGTGTAATATTTTTTTATTGAAAAATGTGTGATTGAAATGATGTCAAAACACTGTTGAAAAATGAATTTTTCCAAAAGAATGGAGCTCAAACTTGGGCAATACTTGGAAAAGGACTAAAGTCGTACAAAAATGTCTGCTGGGTAATGGGAGTTTTGGGGGGCCCAATAATGAGTGTAAATACAAATGCCAAAAGTTCAAAAACTAGATCGTCTTCACGTTTGTTATGATGTCAGTCGACAGAAACTCGTGTCCTCTTTCAAGAATGCGAATTGATCAACCCCAAGTTATATAGATTCTTTCTCACTATGCTCCCGAGTGATGCCGTTGCGCTCAATGTGGGCTCGTCTCCCCTGCGGTGATAGATTGAGGGCAATTCCTTCACTTTCAATTCATTCGAGCCAATCTTATGTCGAACGGATTCAATGACCTTCGAATCACACGGATTCCCAAATGCATCTGTTACATAGAATATGTTAAGTGCCTCACTCGTCGTCGTTAATATCTCAGCTCGAGTCACATTAATGCCATTCTCACGAAAGGTGCGCATTATGTCCGCCAATAAGCCTGGCCTATCAGCCGTACGTAGCTCGAGCCTTACACCCTGTGATCAGAAAAAGAGAATTTCAATATACTAACAAAACAAGAAAGAAAACACATGAAATGTTAGGCTCGAAAGGTTTTTTCGCAACATCAACATGCCAAGGCACGAGGACGACACCTGAGATGCCCGTCTCTCAATTGCAGCTCGTAAGCATTGAATCACATGTTTCTTTTCTGCTTCTGAAGTAATTGGGGTTCCATCTGTGTGCCTAATGAAAAATTCCTGAAGAAAAATTTATAGCAAATTACATATCGATAGAACCCGAGCGCAAACCACAGGGGTCGATATTCGGGATTAAACAAAACTAAATGTACAAAGAGTACAACATATACCAATGACGCTCTGTGTCCCGATGTGTCCACAGTGGCATGGAACACGACATATTGTATGTCTGTCAACGCGCAAACAACATCAAACATTAGCTTTGTCCGATCCTTACACTGGACATGTACGACGGAATAACCCTTTTCCAAAGAATCCTGTACTTCGACAACCGGACGATCACCACTCGTCTTGATAATCGGCTTCCTCTCGTAATCGCCGTCAGCAGACATCATCTGATGAAGCCGTCTTTCTGTATGCGTAACTGCCATCGAAACCAATGTTCTAGCACTTCGAATATCATTATCCCCTTTAAGCACATTTCTTAACATCTCTTCCATTCTGTCGACTTTATTCGAGTCCTCAGTCGATGAACCAGAATCGATATCCTTAATATAAATTAAGGATGCAACTCGACCATTGTGTGTCCAAACATTAGCTTCTACCACATTGCATTTGAAATTCGAAAGAACTGCGAATACCTCGGATAAAAGGCCAACCCTATCAGCACCAGTTAATTCTATTGCAGTTAGTCCCTCAATGCATTTCTGTTTTCCATAATGAATTGTCCCAAGTGACTGCATTCATAAATCCAAGAATTATAATTTGTTCAAATTTAAATTAGTCCAATACATGAATCCAAATAAAGGCTAAAAGTTAATATGTTTTCGGATATAATTTACACTTTTTATGTGCTTCAATAAGTAACTTAAAAGGAAGTTTGACTTGCTTTTAAGCAAGAAAGAGTAATAACTACCTTTTCAATACATTTGAGGACACTGTCATCAGTTATTTTTTCTCCATTTACATCAGTCACATGAAAAACTGCAGAAATAAAGAAATGAAATGCCGCCTTAAATGAAATTCAAAAAAATACAATAAAGCCCATTAATCTAAAATAAATGTCAATAAACAGCTACTAATGCGGGCCGTGGAGGCGTTCGATAGCAAAAGGTCGACAAATTGCGCTTACCGTCCATGAACCATCGTCCATCGGAGGAAATGTAGGCCTTCTTGATAGAAAGATTCATATCAATGAGAACTTGAACTGCTTCAAGAAGAATTCCATGTTTTCTAGCACTATCAATCTAAGGAGATATTAACAAAAAGTTAATCAAGATTAAGATTCGATTAAAAGCACATTTTATTTGCTTTACTAAGCTATATTCAAATAAAAAAGTTACTTTTAAGCATATTAAGAAGGTTGCGTACCATGACCCGAGTGGCATTGGCACAGCCTGTATTATCAATCACTACACTGAAAATGAAAATTTTAACAAAGGAATAGTCACTTACAATATGTTCTATAAGTAGCACTACGATACAAATGAAAAAGACTTTTTTAACTTTTTCTATGGAATGGGCTTGCAAGCACATTGAGCACCCGCCCGTTTTTAAGGGCAAATTTGGCTTTTAGTATTCAAATAAGTTTTCAATTAAGGAAAGAAATCAGTGTGATAAATTAATAAGCTAATTTCAATTTAAGTGAAAAATCAAATGGATTAACATATTTTCCAAATATATTGGCCCAAAAATCTCGGAATCATTATCAAATCAGACAGGATGAAAAAGAACAAAGAAAAATATTTATAAAAAATCACAAAAATTACTATGATTTCTTGAGGAAGAAGATGGCAGCCCAGATTCCAGAATGTGATTGCAATAAAAAAATAAAAATTATTTTCAGTAAAACCCATGTAATTTACAAGACAAACAAATTATAACGAAATCAATTCTTAAAAATCCATAAGAAAATGAAAACACACACTAACCTTGGAGTAGACATCCGAAAGAGAAGTTTCTCGTATTCATCTGGCCACTCCATTTTCCTTAAAAATCACAAATCAAAACACAAAATCTTTGTCTCCCTCTCTCTAAAAGATGCTCATGGCGTTGGCTAGTTTATTGGTTTCTCTCTCTAAAACTATGCAATGCATGCTTTGATCTTTCTTCTACAGTAACTGGAGAGGAGGAAGTGTTCACATATTTCTGAATTAATGACTGAGGCAATGTCGTTATATACTATTTACAATAATTTAAGGGGCTGCCCCTGCCCGTACTGACCAAATTTCAACCTTTTCTCCGTATAATTATATTTCCTCTAATTATTTACTGCTCCTACAATGTGTTTCCACGTGTCAAATGATCCCACAATCTAGGACTACTGTTCCTTTGCCAGCATGGACGCCCCCGCGTATTATTGTGCTTTTATTTACATTGTTTTTACTATTTAATTTCACATTAAAAAAAATCATTTTTCTCAAAATCTATTTTAAAAAATCTCTACCAAACAAAGATTAAAAGTTACACTTGCGACTAATGCATAGACAATTTTAGTGCTTATTTGGTAGAAATTATGATAATGGATTTTTTGACCGTTAGAAATAAAGTGGGTCCTATTTGTGAGAGAAGAATTTAAAAATGACGGTTAGAATAGTGAAATAACAGTCAAAAAAATTGATTTCAATTCAATTAAAATCTCTATCAAACAAGCTCTTAATAACTTAATAGTAAAGTCCAACTATCCTCGTATTATTTTTCTCCTTTCTTTTTTCTATAAAAAAATTGTGCTATAAGTTCAAATTTTTATAGTCTCCAGCAAATTCATTCCGACCTTTAAAAAAGGACTTTTAGTTCTCTAACATTTACTTCTATTTGCATATTTCGTCTCTTATTTTTGAATTAATTTTCTCATGTTTAGCAAGGTAAAATTGACAAAACATTATATTTAACGCTTATTTAATCTTTTTAGACCTAAATATTTCCTTCACTTTCAATTCTAAAATCTAGAAATAGAACTACTAAAATCCTTTTTACACATAAATCTTATCAAATATAGTAGTGTAAGGACATTCGCGAAGAAAATTGAGTAAAATATTTGAAGAATGGTGAGTTTTTAAAATTTTTTCAATAGTAAAAATAAATTTATCATATTTTTTGTTGTTTTGTTGTCGGTAAAACACAACAAACCAACGGGTCCAATTCTTCAGTGTTGTTCACCAATAATTTTACTAAAGTGAATGTAATTGGTGATGTTTGTTAAGCGCGTGTTTTGCTAAATTTTTTGTCTTAAAAATGTTCGAATATTTTTTTCTTGTAACTTTTAACTAAAAAAAGTTACTTTGCTCATATTTCCATACAACATAAAAAGGGAGAATTTCATTTTCACTGTTCATCGCTACTGTTCATAAGGCATCATCTCTAATGTCACGTTGATGTCATTTATATATATTTCTCCTTTTTGTTTCTTCTTGCAAGGTTTTAGCAAATCGATCCTAAAATGTTGTAGAAATTTCAAAATAAACCTTCAATTTCTTCTTTTGTTGTATATTTTACTGTTGGAGTCATGAGCAGCTCGAGTCGACGAGCTAAATTTACATTCCTAAACTTGGGCTTGCATCTAGCCTGTTAGCCCAAAGCTTGTGGATCCAATAAATTGTGAATGGAAAATGAAAAATACATTTTTTTGCAATAAGAAGTTTTAATTTTTGAGTTTTTTTTTTTTTTTTTTTTTTTTTTTTTGGTATAATTTTGTACAAAGACATTTTGCTGTTTAATATTTATATTTTGTTTATCTTTTTGTGAGGTTTTAATAAATTGATGTTTGTTTCTACTTTTCGTTGTGAATCTTCGAGTTCTTTCTTTTTTCTTTTCTTTTTTGTATTATTTAGTGCAATGATATTTTGTTGTTTAATATTGATATCATGTTTTTCTTCTTGCAAGGTTTTAATAAATCAATTCAAAAATGTTGTAGAACCTCGAAAGAAATTCAAATTTGGGCACATCCGGTATATTTACTCAATTTTTGTTGTCAGTCTTCAAGTTGTTTCTTACTTCTCTTCAGAAATTTTAACAAATTATTCACAAAATACCGAAAATTTAATCAAAAATTGGATTTTCAGGACCTCAAGTATGTTCCTTTATAATTTTTTTTTTTTTTTTTTAATTCTGTTCATGTCTACTATGAAGTTTTCGTTCTTTTCCTTTTGTTGTGTATGAAGTTCTGTGCAAGTTTTGTAAAAAGAAAAAAATTCACATTTATATCCATTTGATATTTGCTTTTTCTTAAAAATAATTCGTTCTCATTGCCTGTTATTCATAATTTCAGCTTCTAATCTTCTTTATATTTGAATTAACTTTTGTAGTTTGGGTGATTATGTGTATAGTTTTTTTATTGTATTTAAGGAAATATTTGTTGTTGGTACATTTGTCGTTAAAAGGATAGGTACATCGAACTTTTCTAGTTGACGAAAAAATTAAGCATTTTATGAGTATTTTCCAAAAGTTTTATAATAGATTGTGCGAAACGAATTTCTGTAGTATTGAAAAAAAATTGTACCTCAAAAGAGACTCAAAGATGCATTTCTTATTTCGAATGATGTGTGGTTTATGATGTAGCTCACTAAATAGGTGAATATAAAAGTTTACATAATTCTCATTCTTCAATTATATGCCCATGTGAAACTAAGGGAATTTTTAGGATTGTTCATATGATTTTCCTTTTTTTTTTCTTTTTTTTTTTTTAACTTTTATATGCTTGATTATTTATCCTCCATGTTTATGGTTTAATAATTTGTAATGAGATTTAATAGCTTAATAGTAAAGTCCAACCATCCTCGTGTCATCTCTCTCTCTCTCTCTCATTTTTTTTTTTTTATAAAGAAATTTGTGCTATAAGTCCAAATTTTTATAGTCTCCAACGAATTCATTTCGACCTTTAAAAAGGGACGTTTTCGTTCTCTAACATTTACTTCTATTTGCATATTTCGTCTCTTATTTTTGAATTAATTTTCTCATGTTTAGTAAGGTAAAATTGACAAAACATTATATTTAACGCTTAATTAATCTTTTTAGACCTAAATGTTTCCTTCACTTTCAATTCTAAAATCTAGAAATAGAACAACTAAAATCCTTTTCACACTCAAATCTTATCAAATATAGTAGTGTAAGGACATTCGCGAAGAAAATTATGTCAAATATTTGAAGGATGGTGAGTTTTTTAATTTTTTTCAATAGTAAAAAATAATTTTATCATATTTTTTGACGTTTTGTAGTCGGTAAAACACAACAAACCAGCAGTCCAATTCTTCAGTGTTGTTCACCAATAATTTTACTAAAGTGAATGTGATTGGTGATGTTTGTTAAGCGCGTGTTTTGCTAAACTTTTTGTCTTAAAATGTTCGAATATTTTTTTCTTATAACTTTTAACTAAGCGAAGTTACTTTGCTCATATTTCCCTACAACATAAAAAAAGAGAATTTCATTTTCACTATTCATCGCTACTATTCATAAGACATCATCTCTAACTTTTTTCACTATTCTCCTTCTTGTAAACATCCACCTTAAAACAATTTTTTATTTCTCTTAAAACCCTCCCACAATCATTCCGAACTTTTAGTTTCACACGCAACGTCCATTCCTCTTCTAATTCTTTAGTTCCAACTCAATGTACATTCCTCTACGCTCTACCACGGCCTCTTTCCCCATCTTCTATTCCATGACTTCCTTATTTTTAGTTTCTTCTTGCAAGGTTTTAGCAAATCGATCCTAAAATAATGTACAATTTTCAAAATAAACCTTCAATTTCTTCTTTTACTGTATATTTTACTGTTGAATGTCTTTTTTCTACGAGGTTCTAACAAATTAGCTCTAAAATACCGTAGAAATTTAGCCAAAAAAATTTGTTTGGTAACCTCATGTATGTCCCTTTCTATTTTTCGTCGTGAATGTTTGAGTTTTTTCACTACTAAAAAATAGCTTTTCACGTACGAAAAGTTACGAACGGATGCAATCCGTTGGTAATTAGAAACGGATTATTCGTTGGTAAAAGTTATTCACTTTCAGTTACGATAATCAGCAACGAATTTTTCTTTGGTAATGATGATATATATTTTCCAACGGATATTCCGTACCCAATGTAATCGTTTAACATTTGGATCTTTCACCTACGGAATATCCATAGGTGACATACCGAATATTACCAATGGATACAATCCTTTTGATAATTAAAAATGGATTATTTGTTGGTAAAAGTAATTCACTTTCAACTACAATAATCAGCAACGAATTTTTCATTGGTAACGATGATATCTCTTTACCAATTGATATTTCGTGCCTTATGTAATCGTTTAATAATTGGATCTTTCGCCTACAGGTATTCTGTTGGTAATTAGCAACGGATTATCCATTGGTAAAAGTAATACACTTATCCCACATTGAAAGTTTACAACAAAGTTTTCGAAGTTGCTCTCTATAAATTAATTTGTGGTCCAATAAATAGTTAAACAATATTTTGACCTTTCAATTCGGTTGGCTAAAAGTTAAGAAAATTAAAATTATTAAATAAATAATAATAAAAATAATAAAAAAATTCATAACCATGCCTCATGAGGCTATTTATAACATTGATTTTTACCATTGTAATGACAGACATTTACCAATTGAAAGTCATTTGATATTGGTTAAGATTTTTATCAATAAAAATTTTGTTAATAAAAGATTCACACTTTACAAACGAAAAGTTCGTTGATAAAATATTTACTCTTTACCTATGGCAGGATCCATTAGTAACTATTAGCGACTCTCAAATTAGCAACAGAATTGCGGTTTCAAATATTCCATTGGTAAAGAGTAATAGCAACGGATATCAGGTTTTAGGAACGGAAAATCCGTGCTTGAAGCCATATTTTTTAGTATTGTTTCTTTCTTTCTTTCTTTCTTTTGTTTTGTATTATTTTGTACAATGATATTTTACTGTTTAATATTTATATTTTGTTTATCTTTTTTTGAGGTTTTAATAAATTGATGTTTGTTTCTATTTTTCGTTGTGAATCTTCGAGTTCTTACTTTTTTCTTTTCTTTTTTGTATTATTTAGTGCAACGGTATTTTTTTTGTTTAATATTGATATTTTGTTTTTCTTCTTGCAAGGTATTAATAAATCAGTCCAAAAATGTCATAGAATCTCGAAAGAAATTCGAGTTTGGACACCTCGAGTATATTTACTCTG